CCAGCTGAGATACAAGCGATCATCGGCAGGGTTGGCTGACAAGGGGGGCAAGCACGATGGTTCAAACGGCTGTCTCCCTCTGAGTCCAACTGCCATGAGGGCACAGACAACTAGAATCTAACTAGAATGGCACAGCTGACCAGTTTCGGCCCACGCACACGCTTGCCCACGATACCCTTCCTCCGACAATCATTGCAGATGGGGGCTTGTCTGTTCGCTCGTGTTTGTTTTTTGCTTGTGTGTTGCCTTTTTGCTTGTTTGTTTGTTTGCTTGCTTGCTTTGTTTGTTCCTGCGTTTGTTTGTTTGCGTGGTTGTGTGTTTAGGTTCTTGGGTGCTTGCTTGTTTAACTGTTTGTGTGGCTGTGTGCGTCTGTGTTTGACGGCACCCTTTTTCGGGGTGGGAAACTGAAAGCGAACCCATCCATTTCAGGGTCCTTGTATTTAGACACATGTCCATCGACTTGTATGACTTGTACTGGCGCCAGCATTTTACCATTGACAAAGCCTCCTCTCTTTTTGACTAGGTCCTCCAGTAGAGGGGTTAGAATGAGGGTACCCGATTTTTTGGGGAACCCTCCCAACCAAAAAAGGGGTGTGAGGTCGGGCACCTAGCTGGGGGACCTAGTTGAGACCCCTGAAAACAATCATGATCTGGGCAAAGCGCTGCAGCTTCGCAAGCTTTCACTAAGGACCTCCAGCTTAAAGAGAACCCTCACCATGAGATCTCGTTTTACCACCAAAGTGGTGAGATATTTTGTATATCGCCTCTCCGGAAAGAACGGATCCAGTTGCGGGGTTCCAGTTTGGTTTCGAATCTACTTTCAGATCAAACACATGAACACTGCCTCGCAGCAATTTCCAGAAAAATACCCCCCCCCCTCCATGGAAGGTCACAGGGCACCCATCTGACTTTGATCGCGATGGGTTCTCAAACCTGGGGTCCCCTATGGTTGGATGCCTCTCCGCCCTTCACGTAGCAACCAAAAGCTATCGAATTGCCCGAGAAAAGGCCAAAGGCCTTTCGGCAACGCCAGGTGCGTAACTTTCCTGGCAATGTGTGACGAAAGAGTTCGACCAACACCCCAAAACACCAGCATGGCCTCATGTGCAACTAACCCCCTTGTCAAGCCTCCTGTCAACAAAGCATCTGGCCAGCCTGGCCTTATTTGCACTTCGCCCTTCTTGGATATGGCTGTCCGCTGTATCCCGGTGTATTCCCTGTGCTTGTTGGTGGCAGCCTGAAACAAGGTACGGCCAAGCAAACATGCGCACACAAATTCACTCCTTATTTTTTTCCACGGGCAAGAACAAGACCTCGTGCAACTCCCACATAGCCTCCTAAACAGCCATACTTCTAGGGGGAAACTTCCCCATTCTTTCCAGGGATCCTTCTAGAAAACCACCAAAAACCCTGAGGAAATGGCAATGTCTTTTTTTGAAAGGAACGATGGCTGAAAAGAATGGGAAAGGAATCAACCCCCAGGAAAAGCACACCAGTGTCTTTGTTTGTGGTCGATTTTAGGGGAACCCTCCCCAAGAAAGGGTGAAAGGGCACTACTCGGGACCCATGGCTCGATTCGGTACGTTTGAGCTCAGAAAGCCCAGCGGCATCATGGTGTAGACCTGGTCCTCGCCCTCCGCATTGCCCGCTGCCATGGTGATGTTCAACTCGGCAGCGAGGCAGCAATGGATGTAGCCGGGGTCCCCGCCCGGCTGGGGTCCACTGGAAGGATTCATCCAACAAAAGTCCAAGGCTGACAAGGGTTGAGATCCTATCTGGCATTGACCTTTTGAATGGCCCAAATACAAATTCTGCAAGGCACCCTGCAGTTGTTTTGATGGATGGAACACATTAAAATGGTGAAGTGCTCCCCAAACAGTGATGCGCTCTCCCCCTTAAATCGGAGGGAACCGCTTTAGCAGCCAGGCGAAAAAAAACCATGAAGTTGCCTTTTGCCAGATCAGTGAAATTGAAGATGCTCAAAGCAAACAGGGAACAATGCATGTACCTAGGATATTGTTCTTGTGTCCTCAAGCAAGGGTAGCATGTGGATGGGGCCCGAATTCAAAGAACACCGCACGTGGGTATGCATTAAAACAAGTTGGTTCGTAGGGGGAATTGGGGGCTCTCTAGCCCCTACTGAATAGGGAGTTTTATCATTTCTGGCTTGTGTACACCAGGGCGAAGTAGATTGCACACCGTTGTGAGGGCAAGTAAACCTCTAAGCAAGGGGTGCGCAGCCTACCTATGATCTGCAAGCACCCGTGAGCGACCAAGGGGCAGCTCCAAAAAACAGGTTGACCCATCTATATACGTAGAACCTGGTGGAGCAAGGCGGGGGTTCCCTCAGTCCGGATTCCTCGCTGAAGGGAAGATACTCGCTTGCGCAGCCGGTCAAACAGGGGGTTCTTCACAGACCCTGTTCTGAGGGCAAACATTTCAACTTGATGGAAAGACAACATTTACCGATTGCATGGTTGGGGCACCATCCCATATGTGTTGACGCCCATGAATCACAGATTCCACGAACACACGATCTGCACCAAATCCTACTAGCCACTGTGCCTGAGCCAAGGAATCTGCGTGAGGGAGCTCGCCATAGCTTGATCATGAGGCTTCCTTCGAAAAGCTGCCCTCCAAACTCGCTTGTTCCAAGGGGATGCTCAACATCAACGGGTAAGCGTGATATGGCAAAGCGGGCTTTCTTGATCACGGGTTGTCACAAGGGTAAAAACGTTGCCCGTGGACAAGAAAGAAATTGGAAGAGCCAAGCGCCATTTGGAAGAACCAAGTACCATTGCTCTACCTTTGTGCTTTGATGATCTGCGAAGGCTCGGAACCCTCTTAACATCACTCTTCTCCGTTGCCCAGTGACCTGGTGAAACAACAGAATAAACGGAAGCCCGGCTCTGTTTGGAGATGACCATGTTCACTCTGCCACAAAACAAAAAATGCAACTGGGCCGATATGGCCATGGTATGGATCATTCACAAAATCCTAAAACAACCTTCATGGGTTGGCTGTTTCTAACCCGAAGCCTCTCTGGGTGCGCCCCACTGCGATGGACAAGAAACCCCTGCGATGAGCTTAGGTGTTTCTCAAAATGAAGGTCCCCCGAAGTGTGGGTGCCTACCAAACGGACACCCACCCCCTGAAAGTTCGACTTTTTCCCGTGCTTGTCAGCCCCTCCCCCTCGTTGAGGGGACGCAAGCAAAACACACAACAGGAACCCTCTTAGCCTCTAGTAGGCCTTTGTTCACCATGATGCCCGCCCATGTTGGAAAACCTCCCGAATTGCGTCTCGAGCGACAATCGGAACTTTGAGAAGCGCCCCTTTGATTTGGCCGAATGGCGGTCTGCAACACGGGCAAGGCCAGTATCTCAATCGGCATGCCAGCAGCTGGCCTAGGGTTCCGCAAAGCAGCCCCAGAGAAGTGCGAGGTTTAACACCAGGCCCCTGAGCATTTTTGGTTAAAGCATCTTGGTTTGTGCGCCTGTCTAAGCACCGCAAGATGAAGACTTGGCTTCTGAGGCATCTGGCCCGCCAAAGAGGGGGGACATGAGCGGATCCAAAGGCGGCAACCAAAAAAAGCGCGAGCAAAAGCAGGAGCCACAGGTGTCCTTCTTGGTGGAAGATAGATGGCCATGGTAGTTGATTGACCAGGTAAACCAGGAATTGCCCGACATATTCTTAAACCAAATCAACCAAAAATGACACCTACGGCAGGAGCTTGAACCTTGATGTTGGACACAGATTCTATCCTGAAGCCCTTGGCAAGTCTGGCACTGAGTAGTTTGTTCCCACTTCGGGTGGCCAGCCGGCCACGATCAACTGGATGGGACTAGAGGGTGCAACCCTGGCATACCTGGAAACCGGCAGGTTCCAAATGGGGGATCCCATCCTGAATCAGTAATCCGTTCTGGCGGGAAAGCCACTACCATCTGGCACAAGGAAGGATTTATGTTGAACAATTCTGGATAACATGTTCCAAAATGACTGACATAACAGTGTCGCCCTCCAGCCCAAACATCCACAATGTTGTCTCTTCGAGATGACTGTCGCCTCTCCAAGCTATGCCGCCCCCCCCCTTGCCTCTCTCCAGCAAACTGGCCCAGCGTTTTTAAAACTAATGCAAAACCAACACGCCTCGCTTACAGAGACAATGTGTCCGGCGACATGACACCTGTAGACTGAGTGCAGCTACTTGGTGACTTCCGAGGAACTTGCGGAGACTTGCAATCGCAGTCATCAGAAAGTAAACCGCGAGTCATGAAAACTCCCTGCAGATGTTCAGGGGCAGAATTCATGCATCTCCTTAGCGGGGCTTGCTTCCAAATCGCTTTTTAACTCTGTTGTTCAGTGACCCTGGAGAAGAAAAAAAGGGAACTCTTTTTGGGGAAGACCATTTTTTAGTGGGGCAAACCAAAAAAATGAAAAAACATGGTGCCACTGAATTGAGTTAACGCCCAGAGAGGGTGGACCCCAGAGCGTAACCACCCAACACATGCAGCGCGAAGTCGCTTGAAGGCTTCGCAGGGCTGCATCCCCTGAAAGCACATCTCGGTTGTTTTCTGCTTTTTGCTGCCAAAAGTGAAACACTTGTGGTGGTTTAATTCGGAAAACCCATTAGTTGGCAAAAAGTTAAAGTCCCAACATCCCTTGGCAACATGCGCTAAAGCGTAGGCGTGTCTGCCAAAAGTTGTCGCAGACCCTCCAATAAGATCCTGGGTTTGGTCGCGGCCGGGCACTCCCGAACAACTCGGCATGCGCCGCCGGACGAAAAGCCCATCCAACTTCCTGATGAGGTCAATGCGGGAAAAAACGCAAACATCAACAAGTGGGTATGTCTTTTTGAGGTTTGGTCGGTTTAGAAGGGAACCAAAACGAAAACCACCCATTGGGGGGTCCCGATCCAACTGCAGAAAGCGATGGGACAAGTCTTCGGGGCAAGGGCCTGGGATTCTTCCAAGCGCAAAGCCTTTGGTCTGCCTGGGGCGCCCTAGCGGGCCTTCCCAGTCCATGCCCCCATGGAGTTCAGGGAACGGCCTTCCATCCACATGGGAGGGTCATGGGAGTGGTGCAAAATGGGGATACCTAGCCCGTAGTGGGAGCGCACACGCCATGTTTCACAACAAAAATGGATTGATTTTGGAAAACCCAGAAGCCAACGCGACGCCTCACACAATTTCCACAGCCAAAGGCGAACTTGCCATCAAAGGACCGAGGAAAAAGTTATCGCCTGACTGGAAATAGACCGAAACTTACAGAACATACATCTTCAACAGGGTTGTCAAACAAGGGGGTCACTAACATTCGCCCATGACATGTCCATAGTTGCTAGGGACAATGAAGGCAATCCCTTCGAAGGCGAAATGTGACAATGGCACCCTGCCCGCGCGACACATGCGATCGCATCTGTGGACACCTGGGCGATCCGTTTTCTCTAGCTGTCAGATACCATGTTGGGGTGAGTAAGCCTTTTGCGGCGGGTTTCTTTCAGGGCCGTTGTTTCTTTTTTGGTTAAGAGGGGTTGTGGGGTAAGTTAAATCCATATTCGGTCATGATTCTGGTGGTAAAAGTCATAATTGATTATTCCGCCCCATATTCTGAGGGTGGATTCCCCATTCTCGCCACCCATCCCTTCTTTTCATGAACCACCCGTTTCCCCCAGGGTTTTGAGCAATTTGTCGAATCGAATGCTATGGCTGGACCAGTGAGACCCCTCGGGCTACCCTTTATGAATATAGGCGTGTTCCCCTCCAGAAGTGATGATCCACTAAAACCAGGGACGCCCTCATGTCAATAAGTAGGGGAACCCAGTGTAGGGGAACCCAGGATGAATATATGACATATATATATATATATATACACCATGAGGGAAACCCCCGAATTTCTAAACCATCCTGCGGATGGACGAAATCCTGCACCAGTTGGTAGGTGGCCTATCCCATCATCTTTCGCCCACCTACAGCATCAGGTGTCTCAATCCAGTGCTCCCATCAAACCCATTCACGCGCCAAATTCGACAAATTCTGCGCGCCTGGCCGGGCGGGCACTGGGCGCGAAACTCCGGGGGGGCAGTGAAGAGGGCGAAGCGACCCATCACCACAGAGGGTGTCTGCGCGGAAGGGGTGTGATGTTCAGGGCAAACAAATGGATTCTACCAAACGGTTTGTCCTTTGGTGCAAGCTGGAATGCGTTTATTAGAGCCAGGTTGCGACCAGTATCTATTCTTGAAGGAAGCCACCAGGAAAAACACAATCTAAGAAAGTCATGCGGGGTCCCCTGAAAGAAGACACAACCATATAAATGAAAAGGGAGTTCTGGATGCTTCAGCTAGTTTTCCATCAAACCTCATCGACACTCGGGGAGTCAGCCGCGTTTCAATTGAAATGTCTCCAAAATCAGGGAGCCCCCAAAACAAAGCTGTTGCTTGTTCTTTGGCTTCCCTTTACTGGGCTGCCCTCAGACCCCCCGCTAAAAGTTTCACTTTTTGGTGGGTCAAATGGAAACTACCACTGAACACTAATAAGCTAAAAGGCTAAGGAACCGGATGGCTGGGAACCACCATTTATAGCCACTCCCAAAGGGTTCATGATCATAGGTGTCCTTTCTGGCAAAATACATGGCCCTAGTAGTTGATTGAACCACCAGGTACACCAGGGCCCGACATATGTTTAAACCAAATCAACCAAAAAGGACACCTATGTTCATGATCTTCCACTCAAAACGTGTCATTTCGTCCATCCGCTCCATCCGTTCCTTTGTCGGATGGGCATCACACACCCAGCCTTGAAGGTGAGGGCGAGCCAGCCGGTGTAGGAGGGCAATGCCCCATACCTGGCGAAACCAAAACGCAAATTTCTGGCTGAAATTTAACATTCTGGGTGAATTTCTGGGTGAATTTCTGGGTGAATTTCTATGGGTTTCCTGGACAAAAACTCCGGTAGTGATAGATGCCCGGAGAAAAACCCATACCTGGCGAAACAAAAACGCTAATATTTTGCCTGCCTGAAACTCGCGGTGGTTGGGGGGACCTATTCCCCCACATAAACCACCATTTGGGGGAAATTCGGTCGTGTGAGGTCGTTACAACTCACCCAAACCAATGGTTTCTTCTATTTGCTCAGGTCCCCTGGACAAAAACTCCGGTAGTGATATACACTATATTCTTGAAGCAAATGGAAGGTTTCATTACACCCTGTGTCTGGCACAGACACCGGCCCCGCTGTCTTGGTGATTGTAGATATCAAAAGGGGTCCACTGTAGGAAGCGCCCACCGCCAAACGGTCAACTTACCATTTTGCCAGATGGATCCGCCCCCAAAAGTGAACTTGTTAGCAGGAAATGTAAAGGAAGACTCAAAGTCCAAAAGGGCCAGGTGAGTCTTAAGTCTGGCAACCAGACCCCGCTGTGCCTTTAGGGGTCTTCTCTGCAGGGTTTGAGCTGTGGGGGAAACCATTGAAACCAGGCTCAATTGATCATGCCACCACGAGAGAACCAAATTCGAAGGCACGGACAATCAGCCCCGATTTCACCTAGCCGTAGCTTGAGAAAGGCCTGCAGTTCACGGAAATGGCCCGTGGCAAGTCTTCCCCAACTGTAAATTGACGACCTATGGCAAGTCAACCTCCGGGCCCCGCGTCTGCTATGTGGCGCATGGCTCCAAATCAGCGTCATGAAAAAGGGCCGAATCATAGGCCGAAAGTATACGCCCCTTTGTCATGCGAACCCAGGCACATGTTGGATGGTAGCTGACCTGCCAAACTGTCGCAATACCCAATGGTTCGCCAGCTACGGGGTTAATCCACCTGTTCAGTTTTCTGGGGCCGATTTTTCCAGGGACCCAATTGCCACAGGTGGTGTTCCTTGGGCTTTGGGCTTCAACGAAGCAAACCAAACACTGGGCACCCTGAAAAACAAAACTGGAGTCTCCTTCTGACCCTTCAAAAAATGGGTCCATGACCCCATTATTTTGGGTAATGACCAACAATTTTCAAAGGGTCAGAAGGAGACTCCAAACACCCGCGCCGGATATGGATGTGATACAATCTGGCAGGAGCATTAGGACTTCTCAGGCCAGGGCGTTTCTTCGGCAAACGGCTTCGGCCGAAGCTAGGTTTCCTACCCCCAAAGAAAAAGATCCAAGGTCCGAAAACAAATTGGTTTACCTGCGTTTTGGGGCTGAACCCTCATCGCGCCCCCCTTAAACATCACCCCCAATGGAAACCAGCTTCAACATAGCCCCCAAATAAGGGTGAGGCTTAAACACACCCAAAAGGCATATTGGGAAGGCCTCCATGTTTGCGCCATGGTTGGCTTCCCTAAAAAAGGGGGACCTGGGTCTATATACGTATTTGTCCATCTTTGTATGGCACCGTGGTCGGTTTCTCTAAAATAGGGGACCTGGGTTTATGTAAGTATGTTGCACCGTGGTTGGTTTCAAAAGAAGTCGACCTGGGTGCCAGGTCCTCCAGTAGAAAGGTAAGAATAAGGGCACCAACTTGTTTCTGTCTATTTTAGTAGGGGAACCCTCCCAACCAAAAAAGGGGTGAAAGAAAGGGCACCTAGCTGGGGGACCTAGCAAAGCTTCTCCTGTTTGAAAACCCCTGAAAGTCACGACAATCCGGGCAAACTGCAGGTTCTCAAGCTGGTCAAACACCGCACCGCCTAAAACCCCCTCCCTCGCACTCTCCCCATTTCCCCCGCCTTGCGAAGGCCGGGCAGGGCGCGATGTCGAAGCCGGGCGCGGAGCCCCAGCCCACGACGCGGTCCATGACCTCGCCGGTGATCTCCTTGGAGTTGCCGTAGAATTGTCCCATCGGCTTTTGGATATTACAACCAACGGTTTTGTTCTTGGGAGTTGCTTTTGCAACCGATATTTTGCCGTAGTCTAACCATCCCAGAAAATGGTCCGGTTTCCAATAGTTTTTTTGTAACCATCCCGGAAAATGTTCCGGCTTCCAAAAGCTTAATTTCTTTGCAACCATTCCAGAAAATGGTATATAGTATTAGAGGGTATCCAAACGGTTTTGCTTTTTTGCAACCATCCCAAAAAATGTCCCTGTTTTTTGGCCCAAATGGTCCGAAACTGCGCATCTGGGACTTCCGGTCACAGGAAAAATGGAACTGTGTCCCCCACTGCAGCCAGCTGGTCGGGGGAGAAGGACCACCCCAACAAGGCTCCGAGGATGCCTCCCACCAGCTGCTCCGCTCATTGAAGCGCTCGAAGCGCGTAGCTCGCTCAAAGCGCAGCTCTGAGAGAGGCCGGGGAGTAGACACAAAGCCATAGGCACGGGGAACGGGGGTACCTAACTCCGCTGGAGTTAAGTGGAGCTTGCTCAAATTGGCCCAAGCACATCTGGGAAGGGATCGTGCCAAAGTCATGGGAAACTTGAGCACGAATGGTGACTGGGGGCATGCGCAGCCGACAAGGCGATGCCCATCGTCAAGCACTATGGAACATGAAGGTTCGTTTAGGAGTGTAGAGCACGGCTTCGCTGGTGCCCCGAGTATGTTTTCCCACTCAAGGTCAAAAGGCTCAAGCCAAGCCAGGCCCAAATCAGCTGAAGGCTACAATGAAGCCAAATAAGGCCAAAAGGAAAATTGGTTCGTTCGAAAAAGCAACGGGCCTTCCCAGATCCGTTGCCGCCGCCAAGAAGCTAGCCTAGGCATCCCTGTATCAGCCCCCAGCAATGGACTACAAACATTGGAGCAAAGCAGATTGCTTCATCAGTTTCTCGGAGAAATCCTGAGGGAACGCCCCTGCACAGTCACGATATAAGCATGGCAGCATAGTGCCTGCAGGGCAGGCTCGACTAGGTCGAAATCATGAATACGTGAACAAGACGAAGTCAAACACTCTCTATGCCGACTGGTCCTGGGTGTGTCTCAACATGGAGGGGGACCCACGAATGCATGGCTTGCCTGCGGCTTCCCTTCGAATACCCCCCAAAAACAACAATCAAACCAAAGCATGCCGTCAGTGCATACCTGTAGGGGGACACCACAAATTGTGGTTTTCCCTTGGGTTCCGTTCGAAACCAACCCCAAAGACGGTACTTTCAGGGAACTGTCCATTGATGTTGGCAATTGAAGCCTCAGCTTGAGCTCCCCATTTACTGACCCGTCCAGGAATGAGAAAGCAACATGATCCCGAGCCTCACGAATAATAACTAAACCAATACCAAGCAAATCCTGAACCAGCAAAACCAACTGAGAAACAGCCAAATTCTTTTTGACACTCTTTGCTAAAACAGCCGCCCACAGGGAAGGTGCAGGGAAGCCCCGAAAAGCTAGTAATCATCAATGGCTAACCGGGTGAAATAGATAAAACGCAAAGACTACTGAAGCAGTAATTAGCCTGGAATACTACACCAATTCTAAACAGTACTGGGCCAGCTCAAGCGAATACAAAACAAATCTACACCCGAACTACGCAGTGCTTACTGAAAAACACAACAACGACAAAAGTCGGACCGAGCATTCTCACAGAAGAGATTGTGAAGATCCCTCGAGAAGCAAAAACTACTGCGGGAACAAGCGGCGTAAATTCGCTTGTCTGACTTGTAAAAGCACAAATCATAAGACCAAACGTTCTTGAGCTTGCATTGCTTTGCAAGTTCGAGAATGTACTTGTGACTTGTCACGTGGGCTTGTTTGCCCTGTCTTTTGCGATCTTGATTTGCAGTGTATTTCACCCAAGTCTGTCAGTTTGAACCTGTCTTTAAGATCTTGTCTGATCTTGCTCAACTTCTGACCCCCAATTTCTTAGGTTTTCCCTTCTTGACCTCCCCGATTTCGTTGAGGGTGAGGCCCTTCACTGAGCGCTGGCCAGCATCCGACCAACCCAAACGCAACCCCCCAGGGATCCTTACATTATGCACCTGAACATTGCTTGCAAATGGTGGTTTCCAACTCTTTTTTGGTGTTGACAAAGAAACATGTTTTAAATGGTTTCAAATGTATCTTTTAAGGAGCCCTGCCCAAGAGCCCAGCAGTCGCGTTCTTGGCGCCAGGGTGCGTCCACCGACTCTTTCCGGGCCAGCACGAACCACCGGGGGTCCAGGTTCGTCCGCCGCGGCATGATCCTCACCCGAAAGCTAAAAAAAAGCGGAGAAGAACCCTGCACAAACCAGCTGCAGGAAATTCCACAGGACATCATACAGCACATTCTGCAAGAAATCCTTGTTTTTGGTGGGTGCTTGGTCTTCCTGTAGATTTGTTTCTTCCTGTAGGTGGCTCTGACATCAGTACAACCAGTCTTTGATTCAAAAGTCCTACGTACATACCCTTGGGCAACCCCAATGAGATCGGTGGCTCTGAATAGGGTATATGGGGGGCACAAGGGCCATCCACAGGGTTGTCCCACAAAACACACTAATATGCATCCGGGACATGTAGGGGGCTCTGTGATCATCCATACCTTGCCCCAAGAGGACATGGACAAGTAGGAACTCGTCTCTCATGCCCCACCCCCCACATGAGACATAGACTGGCCATGTTGCTTTTTCGTTTCTTGAGGATACCATTGTTGGGGTTGGCTTCAAAGAAGCGCTGACCACTTCTTCTTCTTCTTCTTCGTCTTCTTCTTCTTCGTCTTCTTCTTCTTCTTCCTTTTTTTCCTCTTGGGGCGGGGGGGGCGGGTTCTATGAGACACGCGGGTGAAGTTGACCAAAGCTCATCGATGACGGGCCGCATCCGCAGCTGGTAGGACATCTCTGCGAAGTCTTGGCCCAAGGGCAGCTCGAGGATCGCACGGGCGTTCGCCCTGGGCTGTGAGGTTCAACGCTTCAGGGCTCTGCCCAAGAGGGGGTGGCGGTGCGGTAAAAATGGAGGCGCGCGAATCAAGCGAGGAACATGTCTTTGATCGTTTGATTAAACCAACCCCAACACCCATCTTTACAGGATTTGGAGCCTCTAGGCTAGTGAAGGTGATTTGTTTCCTGTCCCAAATGCATCCTTTCAGGGACGGCCCCTGTTGGCAAATTTGGCCAAATGGCCAAGGGCCATGCAAAAAGTGAAGCTCTGCTGGCTGCGGGGCCAGAAAGGTTTGGCAATGTGTCCGGCAGACATTCCCACCGGCTTCTTGGATAGAACTCATCTGCGCAATCAGGTTGTTTTTCCCCAAAGCTCTATGAAGAACTGCGTCAAAGGGATAGTTCTTCATTGTTGGGGCGTGTTTTACCGCCTCTGATGTCCTAATGACACACCCCGAATGGGCGTAAGGGTGTGCGCCAAAGCTGACAGGGCTCCCTGCATTTCCTCCTTAAACATCACCCCTTGGAGGAAACTCACTTGACCATGAACCTCGTGGGAACCCTATGGTCTTACCTAAAAGCCACGCAAAGAATCCAAAGAGAGGATTTGTGGACGGGACTGTCCGATACTGACCCTCACTTGAACCCCCGACTTCTTAATTGGGGGGGATCCCCTGAAGAAAGGATTGCCCACAAAACCGGCCAACCCAAAAGCCGTGAGAGCGAGCCAAGTGTCGGAGGCGTGACCCCGAGCGGCGCGAAGCCGTAGGGAGGAAGGATCACCAGCCTCTCCAGCGAAACGAACGGGTCCTCTCGCTATCAGCTGTTGCGTTCAGTATTTGGGGTGGGGTGGGGGTTGGGGTGGGACCCCACTTTGAAAGTTGGACACCTCAGCAAGTTGGACTGTCAGGGTTGATCCAGAAACCCTGGAGCAAAGGGTACAAGTGTGGGCCAGACAAATCGAAACCGGTTGGCGGGGAACATGTTCCCCCATGTGGCTTCCTTGCCTGTTCGACGTGAAAAAGGCGCACCCATGTGAGAAAGCCAACTAACAAACAGAGGCACCGATAAAGCCCACTCGACACCCCCAAAGGCTCATATTCTTTCCACCTTGCTCTCATAAGCTATTTGCGGCCTGCAAAATGTCATGCCAGACTACACCAATGATAACATAGTTTGGTTTGGTGTGACCATGTGAAAAGCGCGCAAAAACTTGAACATAGGTGAACACAAGCTTGGCTAAACGAACTCGACCGCCCCGACATCACCAGCATGCCCGTCCCAGCTTGAGGCCTCGTTTGCCCTTTTTTGCAATATGCTTTCCAGTCTCCTCAACCGATGAACAAAGCATCAGAGCCAAAAATGATCGACTCAGACAAAATTACAAAACAGAAACCACACACATGTGAAGCAGCTCCAAAAGTGGTACATCCCCACTAAAACCAGAGACACCCCCATACAAGTAGGAGCTTGAATCATCCTGGGTCAACAGTACGGAGCCGTCAAAACACATCCCAACTAAGTCCTCCCGTAGAGAGGTTGGAATAAGTGTACCCACTTTTTCCTCTTTGTCTATATTTTTGCCACGGGGAACCCTCCCAACCAAAAAGGGGTGAGAGGTCGGGCGCCAATTGCTGGACGACCTACGGGGATTCCGTCGCCTGGAGAAGGCGACCTCGATGGGTGCAGCGTTGATGGTCACCGTGACGTAGACGGCCTGGAAAACAAAAACACGGCTGCTTCGGGTTCTGAAACCAAATCGGGCGCCCTGCAGTGGCTGGCGGTTCCGAAAATGAGCCCCGAAAATGGGGAAGCCTCGAAAAAAGAAAAGAAAAAAAGGAAAGCAATTTCGGCAAGTTTGAACAGTTAACCCAATAATTATTTCAATCCGCCCTGCAATCCCGCATGGCCTTTGCCGTTTGTCTATCCGTTTAGCTTTCAAAATGCAACATCCAAAACCTAGCCCGAACACGGCCGGATTTGCCCGTGCAGAAAACACATGCCCCGAATCTAATCCACAAAATGGGAAGAGAGTACAACGGGTCTGCAAATTCCAATGGTCCACCTGCAAATTGATAAAGAAAGAGCCCAACAAGAGGGCCCAAAATGTTGAATGAAAGAGTCCGTTGCACACAACGATGGGTGTGCGAAGGAGTATTCACAGAGTACTAACAAATGATATTAAAACTGCGAATCGTTTTCAAGAGACCATACCTGCCAAGTGACTGTGAGAAAAAGCGTTTGCCTGTGTTTCTGGTCGTTTCCATGGAGTTTCCCACCACATAAAGGAAAACGGCGGCGCTGACCCTTCTTGGACGGCTGGAGAAACACATCCACTCTGCGGCCAAAATTGCGCTTTTTCCTGGTCTCCCCTTAAAACCAACCTAAAAAGGGTATCTTCGAGCAGAACGCAAACCGCCGTCACTTTGGACGGCCCCCATCTCCATTCCATGCGGCAAGAAGCCAGCCAATGCGTTCCAAGCCACCGCAAGCGGTGGACGTCGTGAGACCTGGGCAGGGACCGAGCCAAAGTTGCTTTGTTTGGATTTGCTGAACAACCTGGGATTGGGTACGGGGTGTTGCCGCATGCTGCCACCTTCTTCAGCACCAAGTTCCAGCACAAATGCTCGAGGTGGTTGGATCTTGTACACCACCAATACCAGTGCGGATGTGTGCCCAGGAAGCAGCAAACAACGTTCATTGCGCCAAATCCATCTGAACATTCCGTGGAATTGTGGTTGCCATGTTTATGCGAAACCTCGTTGTGTTGGACCATTCTCAGTGTTAAATGGAAAACCTGTTGGATTCCGGGAAGGAACCAGAATACAAGCGCAGCTGTCCAAACGAGGGAGCACCGGAATGAAGCACATTCCAGAAATGAGTAACTCGGTTGGCAACAAGGGCGTGGGGTTAGATGCAGGAGTAGTGATAGACCATGGCATTTCCTCTCAGGATTGGCCAAGCAAAAAGCGCAAGTGTTTTTCCATCACTAAAACTAGGTCCTCCCGGGTCCTCCAGTAGAGAGGTTAGAATAAGGGTACCCTTTTTTCTGCCGTCTAGTTTAGTAGGGCACCCTCCCCCCCCCCAAAACAGGGTAAAAGGGCACTACTGGGGGACCTAGAAAATGATCTTCCACAAAAGTATAAGTAAAAGACACTTGGGAAGTGAGGCGGTATACACCAATTACAGAGTGGGCTTGTAAGGCAAAGGGCCGAGGAACAAGGGGGTACACTCTCACCCAAAAAGGAGGTCAGCCAAGGGAGGCCCCCTCAATAGCTCCCAGCCACAGTTGGCTCCAGTAAAGTGACATCCTCAAAGTAACCCTCCCAATGGTGGTCATAAGCGAAACCACGACGCACAAGTAACTTGAGAACACGCCACCCCTAAAGACTTGACAACAGTCACGGAGATTCCTGTAAACCAAGGTGTCCCATCGCGAAAAGTAATCAAATGAGAACCCCTCAAAATGGAACCCCTTTAACTTGGCTACTGCCCTCTGCGCAAAAAGGTCTGAACTGTTGCTCCTGTTCGCTGATTAGCGGGGAAATGCACATTTGGTGTGCCTTCTTTCGGGGACCCCCCTTCCGCCCGCGCCAGAAAAGAAGACTGTCCTGTTGGTTCCATTTTACATCCAGCAAAACGGGCACCCTCCAACAAAGACACACCCATTTGCTCCAAGAGAAAACGGTGTGGGTCAAAAATAGGTACCCCAAATGGAATGCTGGCAAATGGACACATGGACTAACACCTGCGGCCCCCTGGTGGTTTAATTTTGACCCATCCCCACATAGGTCCCTTCCAAGGCCCAGCTCCTGAGACGACCCTCTGAGTGTCCGCCTGGAGCTCTGGGGCTGGCACTGCGGTGGTCACGGACAGGAACATCTCCGCCACGGCCGTGGGGGCGAAGGTCTCCGCGTCGTTGGTGTTGGTCAAATACCTGGGGCGTGGCTTTCCACCGGTTCCATTTGGGTGTGTCTCTTTTTCAGGGGACCCCAGAATCATCCCAAAATCAGCTTCCCCCGAAATACGTTGTTTTCCACCAGTTGGTCGGTTGGATTGGTGGTTTGCTGCTTTGGTGGTTAGGGTACATTTCAGTGTGGCACCCAAAAAAAAGGCTTCCCCCTGGATTGTTTTTTTAGATTTCTGGGTCAAAACCCTGTACCCCTGATCCAAAATGGAGGCATATGTTATGACCCAGTTCCATTTGGGTGTGTCTTTTTTGAGACCCCAAAATCAGCTTCCCCTTTGATTGTATTTTTTTGTATTTGTGGATTGGTGGATTGGTTTTGGTGGTTGGGGGCTAAACCCTCCACAAGAACCAGGGCTTCACACCTGAAATCTTGTGGACCACGTCTCCACTTGCTGCAAAGGACGAAATCGCAGGCAAAGGACTTCTTGATTCGTGCAACCCAAGTCCTTGAAGAGGGTTTGGAGACAGCTATGGGTGGCTCGTCATTTTTTTTGGCGGGTGCCCCTGGGTTTGCTGCTTTCAAGGGAAACAAAAAGGAACACTTCCATTTTGGTGGGCCCCCCCAAAAAACAACACACACACACACACCTTTTTGGACTACAAGGCAGATTTACACCCAGTTCCCATGTTGGCAAATCAGCCTGGGATTAAACCCCGATGTCCACACCCCCAGATCAACCGGGACTCAGAGTAGGACTGGTTGTCTATCCATTTCTCATAGAGGCTGCAGAAGTAAGCGCGTATCTGCACCCGGGTTTGCGGCTTAAAATATGGGCCTTCTCAAATGGTTGGTTTCTCTTCATGGAGCCCATGAAAAGGCGGGGAATTGAAGTTGGCCTACATGGAAACAAGAAGGAGCACCATTGTTTGTTGGGGTTCCCGTACTTCAACACATACCGATTCATTTTGCTGGGATTAAATACTTGGATAAAGCCGTAGATGGGGCAACTCCATGGGTGGATTGCTTTCGAAGCCATAGATCGGCCCTGAATTGGTGGCCTGAGGCTCTCGATAAAAGCCAGACAAGAGAAACCACGTCACCTCCAACTACTGCTCCAAACCACCAGATAAGGACAGCTGAATAGCGAGGACCTTTCTATTACGATGCTGGAACCCCTTCTGTGAAGTGATCAGTTCACGGTAGGGACGAGAGTCCCTCTGTGGCATGGGTTTATCCAAAGCCATGTTCGACCAGGCTCAAGAAGTGAACACCGTGAGACGGATCCCCTGGCGCAAAAAAAACGGGTGCGGATATATATTATTATTTGTTTATTATTTGTTTCCTCCCCCCCCCCCCCCCGGATTTTGTTTGATGTGTTTTTCGTTTTTCGTCCGGGCCAGTAATTTTACAGCATTTTCTCGCGAAATTGACGCATTTTACACTAGCCCGGCTAGCCCGTCAATATCCCCAGCATCGAGTTCAACATCCCCCGCATGTCCGACCAACATTTAGCATCACCAACAAATCGTGGGTAACAAAATCGAACCCTGTAAAAAGTCACTAAAAAGTAGCGGGGGGGCGGCAGCCCCCCCCATGATGTTCGCAGAAGTGATGATTCGAATAGGGGTGCAATTCAATCTCTGCAAAAAGTCTAAAAAGTAGGGGGGGTTGGGGGGGCGGCAGCCTTTCCCATGATGTTGGAAGAAGTGATGATTCAAGTAGGGGTGCAATGATTCAAGAAAGGGTGCGATAGAATTTACAAGGCAGCGGGAGGGTTGGCGGGGGTGGCTTCCCCTATGATGTTCGAAGAAGTGCATACATACAGAAATACATGGATTACACAGATTACCTAAAACATCGCATGTTGCAGCATTTTCTCGCGAAATTGGACGATCGAAAAAGTGATGATTCAAATAGGGGTGCAATTCAATCTCTGCAAGAAATCTAAAAAGTAGCGCGGGGGTTGGGGGGGGTGGCAGCCCCCCCATGATGTTTGAAGAAGTGTTGATTCAAATAGGGGCGCAATTACTCTGCAAACAATCTAAACAGTAGCGGGTGGGTTGGGGGGGGGCTTCCCCCCCATGATGTTCGAAGAAGTGATGATTCAAATAGGGCGGAACTGGTGATGCTGATGATGCGGGAAGCCAAATCCAAAAGGGTGCAAACGCCAAAAAGCCCAGAGAGGAAGAGGATGCGAAAAGCCAAAGCGGCCAAAAGCCGCATAAACGCAAAAGCCAAAACGCCACCTGCCGAAGAGGAACTGGGAATGCAGAGGATGCGAAAAGCCAAAGCCAAAAGGCCCAGAAGCCGAGAAGCCAAAAAGCCAAGAAGCCGAGAAGCCAAAAAGCCAAGAAGCCAAGAAAAGCCAAGAAGCCAAGAAGCCAAAAAGCCAAGAAGCCAAGAAGCCAAGAAGCCAAAAGCAAAAAAACATCCTTAGAACAAGAAAAAACAACTAAAATAAATACCCAGAATCTGTTGAATGCCAAAGCGCGAGAAGGGGCGGGGGGAGGCTTTCTGGTGGGTTCCATGGTCAGCAAGGGGGGGGAGGATCGCTTGGGTTGCCGAAACGGGTACACTTGGTCGGTTGGTGGGTTGGTCGGTTGGCCGGCTGGCAAACAAGCAAACTGCCAAAGAGACAAACAAACGGGCAGACAAAGAAGCAAAGAAGCAGCGAAACTCGCACAACTCCATGGCCCTCCCCGAATGCCAACTCCTTCCTTCTCGGACTCTTTGCTTCAGGTGGCGTGGGCTCCATGTGCCCCGTGCTGATGGACCACTGAGTCCTGAGACAACCGGCCACATCCGGGTCAACCGTTTGGCGTAGCTCGATTCTTCATGAATGAGTATGGATATGATGCACTATGGAATGGATAAAGCAAATGCTTTCGGATATGATACCTTATGGATATAATACATTATCGATATGGATAGGATGCATTCTGAGTATAGATGTGATATGATACATTATGGAATAAGGCCGATGTTTATGGTACAATCCAATTTCTATGCAACACGCATACGGAGGGCTAGGTAGGTTTTGGTACGATCATCCGAGACACATGTGATATGAGCAATTGTGGGATTTCGCACCCAATTGATACGACTTTGCTTCTTAGTAAGACTCAAGACCCCAGTCACTCGGTTTGTTTCCAGGAAGCATGTCTGGGAATCTGTTGCTCGAACTTCCGAGCTGCGAACCGGAGGAACCGGAGGGTACGGGTGCCAGTCACTTCGGGTTGATTCCATATGCCTGGGCGTGGCTCCAGGCGTTGGTTTTTCCTTACCACCAGCCTTCATGCACACCTTGATTTGTGGTTTGGATTGGCGGCTTGGTTTGAACCCCGGTTTCTTTAAAACCAAATGGGGGAGCAGCCCCTACTCGCTTGGAAGGTCCTTAGGGCAATATGTTGAATGTATGTATTTGTGGAAATAGGGGGGGTCATTAAACAAAAAATGGAATGAGCTCCCGCGTTGCAATGAACCGGAGGTCCCTAGTTTGGTTGCCAGTTTCCATCCATGGCTAAACAGGAGCGTGTGTGTACCAAGAAGGTATTTTGAGCCTCTTCCCCATTAAACAAAGCACATCCAAGTACCAAGAAGCTCTTCTGGACCAAGCGAACTCATTTCTAAATTTCACAAAGAAGGATGGTCAAAATCAAGAGCAGCCGAAAGGAAAACCGCCCGGGCGGTTCCTTAAAACTATTTGTCTGTTATTTTGTTAGGGGGCCACCCCCCGCACCCAAAGCAAACAAACAAACAAGCAAACAAACGAACGAACCAACGAACAAACAAACCAACCAACACACCTCTTGGCTTCCCTTTAACACCACAACCAAACCAGGAAAACCGCCCATTTCTTGGGGGCCCGTGGGCATGTCTTTTGAGGAAGCCCCCCCAAAAAAAAACACACACACACACACACAAAATGTGGCTCTCCTCCTGGTTTCCCGTTAAAACTACTACCAAACCCGGGTACCTTAAAAACAAAAAACAAAACACCCGCATATAGGATGCGGTTTCTGGGCTGCTCTCAGATTCCCCGCTAAAAGCTTAACTTTCAGTGGGTTAAATGGAAACTACCACTAAGAATTAAAAAGCTAAAAGGCTAATGAACCAGATGGCTGGGAGCCACCCAGGTGGTTTCCCGTTAAAAGTACCTGCAAAAAAAAACACGACCACACACACCCCTTTGGGATGTTTTTTCGCTTGGACCGAGGCTCGCAATGGAGGTGGGCAGAATCCAGAGCCGCAGCCGGTAGTTCCGGTTCGCCTCCATGGCCAAGGCGCCACTGCCGTCCGTTATCCAGGCGATCCTCGGCAAAGCGGAGACGTCTTGGAATGCTCGTCCCTCCCCCGCCCCCCCCCCCCCACCTCCGCGAAGCCGAGTCAAAGGGGTGGCCTTTCTGTTTTTTTGTTTCCTGCGTTTTTGTTTTTGTTGGTTTCGTAGGTGTCCTTTGTGGAAAATAGATGGCCCTGATACTTCAGGAAACATTCTGAACCCCGCGCCCTCCAAAAGGGGCCTGGTCCTCAGATTGGCTGGGGTCCACGAAAAACCTTGAGAGTAAAGCGAACCCAAACGAGAAAGTGCCATTGGTTTTTGCAGCCCGTCTTTTCCTGCGAGCCACCTATTTTGGTGTCACTCCGTCTTGATGGGCCAAAACAAAGCCCAAACTTGTTGTTGACCACCAACAAAAACTAAATTGTCTGACCAAACAGCCACAAAAGTCCGAAAACTGTGGGAGTCAGCTTCCTTTTCCCTGAGCCTCTCTTCGAGGCACTGATCCTTGGCCGCTTGGTCTGTGACGTAGACGTCCGCTTTGGGCAACAGCCGGGTGCTGAAGCCGTCCAAAATGTCAAAGTTGTTCCGAGAGAAAACGATCCTGAAGCGAAAGTCTATTAAAGCGGCAAGGGAAGCTCTCCAGGATTTGTTTGGGGGTTTGGTGGGTCTTGCACCCCTCGTGTTCTACCACAAATTTCGGTGGATTCTCCCATGCAACCCTTTTGAGGCATTGTAAAGGGAACCGAAGCCAACTAGTCAAGCCCCTCTGAAAGTTCCAGGCTGTCTTCAGGGACTCAAAATGCTAAGCGTTGCCAATGTTGTTGCGCCCCGCAGATCACCCATTCATGCTGTCACAAACGCAACGCCCTCCTTTCAACAAGCAGGGAAAGGGCCCAAGAGGAAGCATTGCCACTACCCTTTTTGCTGTAGTCTACTTTAGTAGGGGAACCCTCCCAAAAAAAAGAAGGTAAAAGGGCACTACTGGGGGACCTAGCCACCTTTTGAAGATCGACCCGTGCTCTTTTTCACAGCTGCCAACCAGTGCTTCCTGAGAATCGCTTCCGACGTCGAGTGGGGCACCTCGCCCCTTTTCGGCTTTGGTCGACCTTCAACCATACATTTAGGATTTTGAGTTCCTTCCGCCATCATCAGTTTTGAAAAGGGCAAAGATATGGGCGTGCCATTTGTAAGGGGACCCACACACTGGCGGTTCTTTTTTTGGGCCTCCCTCTAAAACACACCTCAAAAAACGACAGACCCATATGCTACCAAACGTTGATCCAAAATTCAGGGGTCTTCCTGGGGGGGGCTCTGCTTTTTGGGCGGGGCACTGAGAAACAATCTTTCTTGGGGCACCGAATCCAATAACCATTGCCATCAAAAGAAGCTGTGGGTCCTCTGGTGTTGGTCGTCCATTTCCTGGGTCCTCGACGTCCCTCCCGACTGGATAATTTTGACTTTACTCGCAATCAACCCGCCGAATTTTGTGCCGCCGAAAGACGCTGAGTGATTGACAGGAAGCACCCGGTCGCATTGCCACAGGGTGGTATTCTCCTCCCGGCCTGCCGAAAGCAACATCTGAGAAGGGCCCTGGGAGCCGAGTGGCTTGGAAGCGTCCCTGTTTCTGTGCTAGAAGGGGACCGTGAAAGCAAGACAGTTTCTAAAAATGGTGGAACCCACCGCATCCCACACGCTTCCTCGACATTGGTTAGCCATGGAACCCAGAAGCTGACCAATTTTCGGGGTCGGAATCTCCGGGGAAGCACCCTCAAAGATCGGAACGTTGCATGGAGCTCCCTAAGTTCCCCTTGCAAACATCATCCCCAGAAAGGACACTCAATTTAAGTTGGCACAAGCCCGTCCTAATGCCAATGGCAATACCAAGGCGAACACGAAAAACGAGGAGTAACTATTGCAAACGCGCCGCTGCTGCTCTGCGGCGGCGGTGGCGGCGGCGGAACACATGCCAAGAATACCCCGGACCCCCGGCATTCCAACTTGCCTCCATCCGCACCGGCGCAGAACTCCAACAACGGCTCATAACCCTCCTCGCTTACCAGCTCCTAAGAAACCGGCGGGAGCACCCGAGCTCGTAAATTAAAAGGCACACACACACACACACACACACACGCACTCAGTGACTAATGTTCAAATGGACGGACCGTGGGTGTAAAAAAAACGGAGCCTGCAAAAAACAGGGTCTGAGACAAAGTTGATGTTTAAGTCCCCCCTGAGGGACATGCACGTATTAACCGCTGCTCCAAAGCGCCCGAGGCACGTGCAGTCGCTCGGGTTGTGGAGACAAGTTTTTCAGCACGAAGATTTCCCCGGCCATGGCGTACTGGGACAGCTGAAAGAAGATCTCCTGAGGTACAGTTGCCAACAGGGCAACCAGGTCTTGGCCCAAATCTGTAGTCTGTAGACCACAAATTTATTCAAACTCTGGTTGATGTGGGAAGGGTTGTCAAAATGAGTGCTGCCTTTGAAAGGGGATAGCAAAAGGGGTCCCATATGTTTGACAACCCCTCCATACTTAGCCTATCTGAACAGAGAAAATCCGCCGACCCCTTTGCAAAAGCCAAGTTAGTCTCTGCAAAGGGGCTGTTCTAAGTGGTGATTACGGGGAGTCTGAGGGGGGGAGGGGGGTTCCCGCGGCGGATTTTTGACACGCCTAACCTCTAACCCGAACCTCTAACCCTAACCTAACCCTAACCTCTAACCTCTAACCTCTAAACGTGAGGATGGATGATGATGATGATGATGATGATGATGATGGAAGACTACGGAAGACTATGGGAAGGTGACGGAAGACTATGGGAAGATGACGGAAGACTACGGGAAGCTGACGGAAGACTACGGGAAGATGACGGAAGACTACGGGAAGATGACGGGAAAATGACGGAAGATGACAGAAGACTACGGGAAGATGACGGGAGACTGCGGGAAGATGACGGGAAAATGACGGAAGACTACGGGAAGATGACGGAAGACTATGGGAAGATGACAGAAGACTACGGGAAGATGACGGAAGACTATGGGAAGATAACGGGAAGATGACGGAAGACTACGGGAAGATGACCTTAACCTCTAACCCTAACCTCTAGCCCTAACCTCTAACCCTAACCTCCAACCTTTCCCTCTAACCCGCCCCAACCTCTAACCCTAACCTCTAACCTAACCTCCAGCCCTAACCTCTAACCTTAACCTCTAACCGTGAGGATGGATGATGATCATGAAAGACTACGGGAAGATGACGGAAGACTATGGGAGGCTGACGGAAGACTACGGGAAGATGACGGAAGACTACGGGAAGATGACCTTAACCTCTAACCCTAACCTCTTACCCTGACCTCTAACCCTAACCTCAAACCCTAACCTCTAACCCTAACCTCAACCTTAACCTCTAACCCTAACATCTAACCCTAACCTCTAACCTGGCCTCTAACCCTAACCTCTAACCCTAACCTCTAACCTTTAACCTCTGACCGTGAGGATGGACGAGGATGATGAAAGACTACGGGAAGATGACGGAAGACTATGGGAAGCTGGCGGAAGACTATGGGAAGATGACGGAAGACTACGGGAAGCTGACTGAAGAGTCCGGGAAGATGACGGAAGACTACGGCAAAATGACGGAAGCTGACAGAAGACTACGCGAAGATGACGGAAGACTACGGGAAGATGACGGAAGACTACGGGAAGATGACGGAGGAAGACTAACACGGGAAGATGACGGAAGACTACGGGAAGATGACGGAAGACTATGGGAAGCTGACGGAGGACTACGGGAAGATGACGGGAAGATGACGGAAGACTGCGGGAAGATGACGGAAGACTACGGAAGATGACGGAAGACTACGGAGGTCGTCAACCAAAAAACTCCCGCAAAAGGACAAGTCTCTTGAGGGCATTGCGTTTTTGGTCTCGGCAACCGGGGAAAAAAGGCGGCGGTTGCATCCCCAGCTTCACCAGCATCATCCTGCCGGTCTGTAGCGTGATGCTAGGGATGCTGGGGATGCAAGACCTGCCTTTTTTGTCTTGGACAACCGGGAAAAAAGGCAGCTTTTGCATCCCCAGCTTTGCCAGCATCATCTCGCAAATGCCTTCGATGATGCCTAGCGTGCTGGGGATGCAGAAGCTACTTTTTGGTCTGCCACGACCGGGGAAAAAGACAGCTTTTGCATCCCCATCTTTGCTAGCATCATCCTGCTGAGGAGGATGCTGATGCTGATGCTGATGCTGAGGATGATGATGACAGTGATGACGATGATGATAATGATGTTACGGGGGTCGGCGGCATCAGGCGTCAGCCTGCTAAATCCGGCTACGCCTCCTTGGGGTAGCATGTCGCCGCTAGGCAATTAGCCTGCTAGCTTTAGCTATAGGGGGTGCACCCTGGTGCCGCCGACCCTCGCCACTTGGTCGTGATGCGCTGCCTAAATCCGGCACCTCTGCATCACCAGCTCCGGCTTGCGGTTTTGCTTGCCTGTGGGAAACCCTCGCAAAACGTCGCGTATATGCAGGGTTTAGGCCATGTGGCTGACATCGTCAGGGTCTGGGGTTGGGCCTGGGCGATGCTTCAGCGGGGCTTGGCCTGCATCATCAAGACTTTCTTTTAAAAAGCCTCTCAACCCAAAAAGCACTGTTTTTAAGAAGGTATCGGAGGGGTATAAGCGAGGCTCATTTTTGCGCATTTTGGCGGCAAGCGCTGCCGGGCATGCCGGTGATGCTGGGTCCTCGCTCTCCAAAACGCTGTAAATACCGCAAAAAAACTGTTGCGCTGAGCGTTGGGCTGTTGTTCTGTCCGCTTTGCTCTTGCTGTGGCTGGCTCGCGCGCTGCGCAGTCCTTGCTTTTTTCCTGTTGGTTTTCGGGCTTTTTGGCGCGCGCGCGCGACCCCAGCCACAAAACGCTGCTATTTACGGTGTTTTGTTGCGTTTGCGTTTCCGGGCTGGCTTGCGGGCTGCTCTTTTTCGGCTGCTTTTTTTGGGTCCTCTGGCGCGCGCGGGGCCCGGCTGGGGCCCAGAAAGCCGGCATCCCCGGCATTTTCTGGGGTTAAGGTGAGCAACATAGCCATATCATAGCACAGGATACGTTTCTCATGCACAAAACATGACATGACGTGGTATAACTTCAAAGAGGCGTAGCCGGCTAGAGGCCGCAGGCCCAGAAATAATGGTGGGGGAGGCCCTTCTGGGTCCGGTTTCCCAGGCCAGTCCCTCGCCAGGTGGTCCAGGGGTTCTCTGCAATAACCCAGAGAATCACACAAAAGAACACCCACAAGAAAAGTTGCGCCAAAACACCTTGACTTTTGGTTCTCCTGACAAAGTCTAGGTGTGAATCAAAAGGCCGATCAGGCCACACGAGCTATTCATTGGGTCCTCCTTTGACATGGTGCCCCATGTCATGCATGACAGTAAGATCTTTGACCGTGGAAGCCTGGGTCGAACCTCCCCCAAATTACAGCGAGGTCGCTGTCAAATTTCTGGCCAGATTGTGTCCAAAGCGTTTGGCCGGGAGTGACGGCCCTGCCTTCCTTTGGAAAATCCACTGATTCGGAGAGCCCAAAAAAGCGAATCACATTTCAAAAGGAGATACCACCGCGGTTGCCATGGAATTTAGGGGAACCCGATCAGCGGAACATGTAGGAAGTCATTGTTTGGTTGTCCTTCTGGTTCCCCCTCAGAAAAATAGAAACAATATGCATTTCTCATCATTTCTCCAAACCCGAAGCTTCACGCAAGGAGCCCGGTTGCAATTAGGTTAAGCAAACCGTGAACTGCGGTGGGTGGTAAATGGGGTCTAACAGCGGGGGTATTGACAAAATGGATTGATTCAGCATCGCCAAGTAGATCGGAGAAGTGCCTCAAAGCTACCTTTGCACTTGCAAAAATAATGTCCGCCAAAAAGCCGCGCTCTCTGTCTACCACTGAATTGACTTTGCCAAAGCACACGGAGTCCACAAACTGTGAGGGCACAGTACGAACAACACGCCCAGTTGCGATTGCTGCACTGATTGCCCCTCCCCGACTGGAAGCTTCAGGGGGCCCGAGCTGGTTTCACCAAGATGTCGCTGGAAAGAACCACCTCTTCACCAAACAGGGCTCCCCATATTTCCTCAAAAAACATGTCCCCACACAAAGGCAACTCACAAGTTCGCCCCCCAAAGCAGGCTGCTCCAAAGACCGGAGTTCTGGAGCACACCAAAATCTCTGTTCAGATCCTGCTTCATTTTTGCTCGGCCTAACTTTTCAAATTAGTTTTGGAGGGCACTCCCCCAGAAAGGAATCTGTACTATTCTGTACTATGGGTATGGGTCAAAATAAACCACTAGAGAACCGCAGGTTTTAGTCCATGTTTCCATTTACCAGGGCAAGCCATTTTAGGTACATATTTTTGACTCACAGCCATATAGGAAGCCCGGATCTGAGGCGTTTTTTTCTCCCAAGGGAGGCCATGCGCACGCCGTGCGTCGATGCGCGCCCGCTGCTTGGCAAAGCACGGCAGCAGCGGCAGCACCGAGTCATAGGCGTCACCTGCGATGCCACAGTCGAGGCTGGGACTGGTCGGGGGGGCCCCCCAGAAAAAACCGATCTATCCAACAATCATGGAAGTGGACTTGGGGGCTTCCAAAGGGAAAGTAGTCTTCCAAAACCCTCCGGTCAGCTTCCATGATTGAAGGGAGGGTGGAGACGCATCCAAATGGAAGGGTGGAGTGATCTGACAAGAGGACACCCCCCCTCGTAGTATTGATAAACCAGGCCTCACTAATCCGAGGTCAACATTAAGCTGAGAAAAAAGCTGCGTTAGTTGCTCTCTAATCTGAAAAAGGCCTTTGGTGCCATCCTAGACCTCCAAATGTGGCAGTCAGATCTGCATCGGCATTTTGGCCAAAGAAGCGGGATTTGGAGGGCGCCACTGAACAAGTGCGTGAGTGTTGATCCCGGATCTAAGTAGCAGCTGCTAAGTAGCACAGTGCCCCTCTGAGTTGGGACACGCCATCAAAACCAACCGGGAGCTTCTGAATCCTAAAATGGCTCCCCCACAGCCGCCGAAATTTCACGGCCACATCGAGGGTATCCAGAAAACTCATCATTTGCAGAAAGCCGAAAGAGGGTTCCCGAGCAAAAAGATAACCCCAAATACACTCCCTCAGACTACCGTGGAAGCTCTCAGAAGGCCTCTGTAAATGGAACCGAGTCTTCCAAAGTGGCCTAGGGATTCCATGTTCGCCTGGGGGTGGGGCTTGAGAATCCCATTCCCTAACCCTGACTGTCCTGGTACTTTCGTGTTGCCTGATTTAAAGCCTTTGGTTGGGGTAGCTTTTGGGATCTCAGACCCCTTCTCCCCCTGCCTTCGTAGTGTTCCGTCACATCTTCAGACAGCAGCTGCTGAGAGTCGATCTGCAGGGCCCCGGGCTGCACAAAGCCCTGGAAGAAGTTCCGGCGCCTGAAATTGGGTCGGGGGGTTGGTGGGTGAGGTTGGGGGAGGTGGTTGGGGTGGTGGCTGGCTAAAACGTGTCAGTATATGAGGCTTGGATGAAAATTAGTACGGTGGTTGATTTGGGAGGCACATAGGGTGGACTCGCAAAGTTTCCGGCAAAACCTCATGATTCATACATCCATCAAGCAAATGGCAATGCCTTGCCACGGAAAGACCTTCTAAAGAAGCATGTACCTGCAACTGCTCATGGAATACACTTGTCACTGTTGTTAGCATTTGCTTAGTGTGTACTTTCTTTAAATGTCGGAAGGTTTTGGGGCTTCTACAACACGCTTCTTTGGTAGTTGCATGGCTTGGGAACAAAAGGGCACGCAATTCTCTGTCAGTTCTCAACTTGGCTTTTGGCCAAGCCCGAATGAGGAAGAAACCTGCTGCCTGGTTGCTGTAACGACCTTTCTGCCACAAAAGCTTCACCTTTTGTGGGTCCAAATGGAAAGTCCGATCTGTTACCAAGAAGCCAACGTCCGAAGATGCAGCCAAACAGTCGTTTGCAGACTGGGTGTCTGAAACATTTGATTCACTGAATCTTCCATTTGGCTAAGGCCCCAGGAACAAATAAACATATGTCCAGTAGTGATGAATTCCGTTTCAAACGAGCAAGGGAATATTACATAAATAAATAAATGAACTAAAAAGTAAATAAGTCAATAAATCAAAATATATATAAATATATATATATATATATATATATTATTCTTAAGCAAATGCAAGTTTCTCTCAAGGATGTGGTTTTGGGATGACCTATGCTCCGCCTGTCCGCCGGGTCGAGGACGCGCGCGCGCCGGCGCGCGCGCGTGCCTGGCAACCTCTTGCTCCATCCTGGCGTCCGCGAAGAGCTGCATGCCTCGAATTTTGCGGACCCAGTGACCCAGGAACCTCTTCGGCTTCCCTCAACTGTGCGGGCTTTGATTGTTGGCTAGGGCCAGGGCCGTTTTTTTTCAAGCTTTCTGCAGAGCCTAGGCCCTCCAGTAGAGTTGGTACCCGTTTTCTTTTTTTCTGTTTCGTCTATTTTAGTAGGGGAACCCTACCCCAAAAAGGGTAAAGGGCACTACTTACTCCAAATACCCGGTCTCTTTTCAGGGTATCATGTCGACCCTCTACGAAAAAATGAGGTATTATGAGGTATTTACCATGGAAAACCAGGCTTTCCTAAAACATACCCTGAAAAAAGCGGGTATTTTGAGTAGGGGGGAGGCTTGCTTTGTGCGGTTTCCCATTAAGGTCCAGAAGAACTGGGGGGTTCAAACTCCAGTATGGCTGCGACACCTCACTTTCTGGGTTTTGGGCCAGTTTCTCCACGACCGGCCAAAAGAGGGTACCATTTTAAGCCCAAACCGGAGCTCCAGTTTGCAGCCGGCTTGGGTAGTTGTTCCGCAGCGCCCAAGAAATCCCTTCTTCTCCCAATTCAAGATGGACTCGACCCCCAAAACGACGGGTTCCCGCTTTTCTGCCAGGGTCACTGTTCGCAACTGGGTCCCTAGGTGCCATCAGCCACTGAACTCTGAAAGTAGTCAAGTGCGTCTCTTGACGATTCTTTCTGTGAGGGGAGCCAGATGCATCGGGCCACGTTTGGGAGCTGCCTTTTTGTTGTGCTGTTTTTCTTCCAGGCGAAACAAGAAGCTGAAGTCAACAGAACAACTTGGGCCCACATGTTGGGCCACATCTGAGGCACGCGAAAAATCATTTGCGGATTCTTTGTCATATAGCTTTAGCCGACCCAAAATCCAACGTGGAGGGGAACCCCAGAAATTCGGCAACGTCTTGCAAAATCATTACCCGTTCACACGAATTGGGAAAGCAGAGGGTCTCCCAGCTTACCTGCGGCTTGAGTTTTCATGACCCCGTTAGCGGGTGGGTCCATCAATTCCACTTACCCTACAGCTGTAATTGTTTGCTTCAATTCCGTCATGGCCCCTACACAAAGGAGATAGACAGTTTTCACATTTACCCAGTCTAGCCCCAAAGGGCGAAGCGACTAGATGATTGCATATGTGAAATTGGTCTCTGATGACTGCGACTTTCACTCTCTGAAGCTGCGACACCATTGCAACACGTGCACGGGCCCAGGCCCGTGCCCTTTGTGGAGTGTACCCTGTTTGGGGATGGAGCCCAAGAGGAAACCGCCTATTTAAGGGGCCTCCCGATTTTGAGAACCCACAAAACATGTCCACCCACATTCTCGAGGATTTACCTGAATCGCATTTCCGACAACCATTTTTAAGAACTTGCATCATCCCAAACTCCGCGATCTAGAGCCCCAAAACCAAAATGAGAAACTTCTTCGCCTCTGAAGTGTGCAAGATGTCATATCGAATCAGTTTTCCACAATGCGTGTGGGGCAGCAATCCACTTCAGAACCAGATGCGACGTCCATTCCAACCTGGCTTCCAATAAGCCTTCCACAAGGCCATGGCTCGCTGAAGGTCTTGGACTGTTTCCTTCTGCAGGGCAGGCAGCATCCTGCTTGCCGCCCAAGGCCGGCCCACAGTCCACTTCTCATTCGCCGAAACCTTCTCCGTGTCCTTCCCACCCCGCCACTCCCGACTCCCGAGGCGCGTCACGGCGTTCTTCCTCTTCTCTGCCCACAGCACACGCGGCTGCCGGAAGCAAAAGCGCATCTAGGACCGACCCCCAACCGGCTTCCAAGACCCGCGCTGTCATATCCAACACCAAGAGTTCAAATGCTTGAAACCACATTGTGCTTCTAGGTCCTCCAGTAGGCAAGTTAGAAAAAGGGCCCACGTTTCTTTTTTTTCCCCGACTATTTTAGTAGGGGAGCACTACAGTACTGGGGGCCATCTCCAGTTTTCCAACCAACCAATGATGAAACCCCCTATGCCCTGCCCCCAACACATACTTTACACTCAACCCGGAACCCCCTCTGGGGCATCTGGCTGATGCGTGTAGGGCCACCAGAACCCAGCATCACTTCTCCCAGAAAGACCTCGAGTCCGACATCCGAAATCCGAAGGATCTTCCAATGGCTCGGGCGGGTGAATAAGGGTCGGCCTCCTTCAACAGTTCATCGGTTTACTGAGGGAGAAACCGGAAAGCGAAAGGAGAAGAGCGCTTCCACGTCCATCGTGCTGTCACTCCATCTCTCATCATCTATCTTCACAGCCTGATAATGCATTTGGAGGATGCACATATTTTCATCTTGGATCTTCATGGATAGACCGTACGTAGGAAGGGAAAGACATGGATTGGTGGGTTTTCCGTACCTATAGCGCAAAGGGAACCAACAACTTGTCCAGGTCCTTAAGGTGTGCTTTCACATGAACAAGTGGCCAGAAAGTGTCCGGACCTGTTCTATGTGAATCCGAAATGGATGGTACTGGATTGCCCTGGAACTGATTCGTAGGCTGGCTCAGGGCCCAGGTACCTTTTGATGGCCTTGGGGTAAAGAGGGGTCTGCCTTCGAAGCTACTTGGATTTGGGTACGGGTGAAAATTCGGACTCTGATCCCTGTGCAGGAAGCCAGAAATAAATGAATCAGTGGATTCGCCCGGCCTTGGATTCATGAACATACAACCTGAAGGTTTTTGGGAGGCCCAAGAAAGGAGCTTTCATTGGCAAAATTGATCTCACATCAAACCCCTCAAATTCGATTGTTGCCCAAATGGCCATTAGGAGCCTCAGCCCGACTGCACAAAGAGATCCTCTATAATTATAGGCCTTAACCCACCCAGTGGGCCTCGTTTGTGGACGGTACAAGATAGTGGGAATTACCCTATGTCAAAAATAATCCACATTGTTTGTCGTTTTGGGGCAGCCGTTGACTGGACACATCCGCGACCAAAGGCTCACATGCTTGACTTGCCATGACACACCACCCACTTCCTGGTTCGGTCCTGCTGGAAAGTGGGGGCCAGCCCGAGATGCTTTCTGTTTGCCCCACCTGCTCTTCACACTGGGAAGGCCATCTTTGCGGCAAACACACCCTTTGGCGTTGCCAAGGTCATGACTCGGTCCGAACCTGGCCACAAAAGGATGCCATTTTGGCACAACCCCCCCCCCCAAAAAGAAAAGAAGAGGATAAACAGAAGACCCTGGCGCAGGCAAGAAAACTTGAAAGGAAAAGGACTGGCCTCTCCCGGCAGGTTTGGCCGGAAGTCCCCGTTGGCCAGGACCACACGGGAGCCCTGGCAGGGAACTGGGTGCGCAAAAGACATGTCTGAGCTAAACTCGGTTGCTTTCTGCTCCCCTGCCAAAAGTGTAACTTTTAGTGGTTTAATGGAAACCCCATTTGTTGGATCCAAGCAAAATGCACCAAAGTAAGAACGCTCAGTTTGAAAGCGTTTTCGGGGATTGAGAGCTTTCAAGTTGTTTTTTCCAGATTGGGTCGCTCGAGCTCCAGGATTATTACGTGTTTTGCTCTTGAGCGAACCGGGGTTTAAAGGGAAACAATCCTTTTTGCCCCTCGCTTTCCGCCAGGTGCTGCTCTGATCGCCAACCGTCATGTCCGATCACAGGGGTACATTGAACCAACACGAAAAAGCAAAAAATGGAAGAGGGCAATGCTCCTCAAGGGGACTTCATAAATCGCTCGTTCTCCCCGAGTGATCCCGTGCATGCGCCAAATCTGCTTCCATGCAAAAGCTTCTGTCACGCTCCCGGAACGAAACCAGCCTGGGTGAAGGCGTGCCGAATCAGAGGGCTCGAGGGC